CAGTTCTGGGATTGTCATCATCTGTTGGACCACAAGAACATTACATTTTCATCTAGACTGCAGGTACGTTGTCATTGCAAGGACAAGGGAGAGGAGCAAGTTTTCTCTTTTAAAAGAAGCAAAACTCAAGAGGGTAAGGAAAGCCCACAAGGTGTGTTTCGATTAAACTGCTTCTCTGTAGCAAGCAGCTTTCTAGTACATCTGCAATCTATATGCAGTGCTAACTGGAAAAAAAAAAACAGAAAGAAAGAAAGAAAGAAAAAGCTTTCACTCAGAAAGTTTGATGTTGGCAATAGCTTTCAAATGTCCAAATAATCTTCTGGAGGGCTAACTTGTCTTCTGAGAAAAGCTAGTCTGTCAGGGTGAAAAAGCGCTTATTATTGTTTCTTAACTTCAGATGGATCAGACTTTGGATAAGAAACAAAGGTGGGAAACATTACCAACTGAGAAAAGATATTTGAGTGTGTGTGTTTGCTTAGCTTGCTGGGCTAGGCTTTCAATATACAAGAGAATGTATCTATTGAATATTTTTCCTCTTCTTTTCCTTCATCCTTCCTTTTTCTCCCCAAGATTTCCCTACCATGTTCCCACTCAAAGGGAGCTCTGATGCCAAGAATCAGATGGTATTTTCTTTCCTGTAAATCAGCAACTGAAGGCATGCCAATCTTTGTGCAGGTGGCTGCATCCCCGTAAATAATAGTATTTAGAATGGAGTTTTGGCTTCGACGTTTTGGTCTGAGACTGACAGTGTGGAAGGAGAGAGAGATTGCTCCAGACAGGAAAAACACACAGGCAGAAGTGCTGCAGACGTGGCCACCCCATTACAGTTGAGCCAGGTGGGAGCTGCGGGTCCCTAGTCTGAGCACCATCACCACCTTCACAAAGAGGATTCAGTTCAATAAATGGGCACCTGTGGTCACTTGAAATGTTCCAGAGCATGTATTTTTCTGTGAAGAGCAATGAAATTGGATGCGGGTGGTTCAGGAAAGCACGCTGACTGCTGCTGGCGCGCGTGCTGGCCCTCGTGGTGCAGAGGCAGTATCTGCTGACCTGCCACCGCACGCTGGCATTCATGATCGGTATTCGCATTCTCACCAGGAAGTGGCAGCTTTTCACACCAGGTGCCAAGTCGCTAAGCAGCTCCGTCTTGCTTCAATACCTTCAATTTTCAACGGCGGCAGTTGGATACAGTTACAGAAAAAAGGTTTCTCAGGAATTAATGACATGGGAACTTAACCTTATAAAGAAACTGTAATACACTGCACTTTTCTTTGTTTGAGTCTGGGTCCCCTGATCCTCTAACGCTTCAGGTTTTGTTCAAGCTTGCAGAAGTTACTACATATAGGAAGAAAAATGGTCATATCTGTGCATAATGACTCTATTTAAATAGCCAAAATAATTACAAGGTTCCTCTTCAAGAATCGTATCTTTTCATAGGAGGTAATGTATTCTGGCTGTAGAATTCAAGAGATAACAATAGAAGTTATTCTGCTTCATGCTTGCTGCTTTTTCGGGAATATCAATGAGATCTTTTTTAGGAGTTTGTGAGGTATTAAAAGCCTGCCATTTTTAAAACACAGATCAGGCTCTGAATTAATCAAGCTCGGCAGTTCTTGCATCTGGTGGCTGAAGTGAGAGTATCAACAGTTTTGAGTGTGCTCAGACTGAGGGGGAACGGTTGGAGGGAATGTACAGGAGAGAAGAAACAGGAGCCATCACCAATTTTTTAGGCTGGTATGGAAAGAGCTATCCTGGCAACCGTTCAGTAAGGATAAAATCATTTGCTAGTACTGGTCTAACATGTCGTCTTGTGCTTATGATAGACTAAATTCAGTCAGTCTCTTTTGGTGGAGGCATTGCCACTGCTCCTTTTCTTTCAAAGATAGCTTTAATTTATACCCGCGCTAACCTACAGCTCCTAAAAAAGTGCAATTAAACGGTGCTCAGATCTCTCCCAGTGGCCTGATAAATATCAGTAGATAGATGCTTGCTGCATCCAGGCTGTAACAAAAATATTGGCGGTGTGCTAGAATAAAAGGAAGGAGACAGGACTTTTAATAAAATTCTGTTACTTTTGCAAAACTTGTGAATGGGAGACTGTACTGGCGTGATACGAAGTATAAGTAAAGTTAATCTGAGTAGTTACAGCCGCTTGGATAGGAATAGGTGTATCTTGTGATACTGTTTCTTTTGCTTTATGTTTAACTGTGCACTTGCAGCATTCAAAGGAAGATTGTAAGTTTTCAACTGTTTGTGTGGATTGGAGAGTAGGTCCCATGCAATTCTTGAACACCTTTAGTCACAGCTGAATGAAATTTTTCACATGAAATTTAATAAAGACAAATTCAGACTTGGAATTATAAAATGTTTCACATGTACAAACCTGTTTCAAAATTGTTGCTTTGAAACTGCTTTAAAATAAATGTTTTAGTTGTAAAAAAAAAATGAACAAAAATTTGATTTTAGGGGTTGCAATAACGTTCAAAATTCCCACTTCCTCCCCTTAATTAAAAATGAAAAGCCTGGGAATCAAAATGGTATGTAGAGGCTTTGTAAAATGAAATTTTTTGATGGAACTGAAATGATCGTTTCACAGATGTTCCTTTCTGTGAAAATATCCAAATTACTTTCATTACAGGTCATAATATCATCTTCAGAAATTTGAAATAGCAATGAACTGAAAATACATTTGTTACCAGCTTTGCTGCTCCATGCTATGCTATTTCCTGAACACCTTCCTAGGATTAGTGCATTGCTCATGTACCCTTTTTGAGTGTACACTTTGCAATTCAGGTTGTAACTGATACCCCTATTTTTGTTCCTACTTTCACTGGGTTGATGAAAAGATTTAAAATTTGTGACTGTTTTCTTAGCAAACTATTGAAGGATTGTGGGGAGTGCTCATTCAGAGCAAGGATTTCAGCTAATGTACTTCAGCAAGCATTGTGCTGAAAGCAGTGGAATTACACTCATTCACACCTCTTGAGGATTTGACCGTCAGATCTAGTCATTAAACAGGTCTTAACATATTTATCCTACTTATGTCAGAACTTGAATAGAAAATCCCTTAGGGCAAATTGAACTAGTGATTTTTTTTTTTCAGTTGTCAGAAGGTACCTTTGGTTTAGGATAAGATATCTAAACAAGAATAGCTAGAGCAGTCATCCATTTGGAAACGTGATTGGATAAACTGACTTTGGGGACTTCCATCTTTATATTGGTTCAGAGATTAGCAGATCAGAAATACTGGCCTCAAGATTAAAACAAGATGGTTTGGGGTATTTTCCTCCCCCATCGTCACCATAACTGCTAGCCAAAGAAACTCAGCAAAGTGTCTGAAAATCAGGCTGGATTATTCTGTGATAATCTCATTGCAAATCTGAGATATAAATGATTGACCCTGAAATTGGATTTCGGGAAGGGATGAGATACGAATCTTGCTCCTATCTGTTTTGGTTTCTTGAAATTAATGGAATCAAAAAGCAGGGGGAAAAAGTGGATGCAGTGGATGCAGTAAAGTCTGGCTTATGATTTATATATGCCCTTTGTATTCTCTTATTTCCCATTCCTCCTTCATATGCTCTCTGGCTTTCCCTAAGACGAAAAAAACTCTATCTGGTGTAGCTAGTCCTGACCTGCACATGTGCTGGTTGGTTGGTCGCTGCCAAGCTGGAGATGTAATGGCTGAGTTGAGCCACACTTCTCTGTGGGGACACCAATTTGTGTGTCTTCTCT